TTCTGTAGACTCAGTGAACGCAGACAAAGAAGGTGGAGGTTTTGCTGCATTGCACCGGTGTTGTAGACGTTAGGGTTCGACTTCCAAGCTGGCACCATAAGCAAAGAAAAGGCATGTTATCTCCTTTCATGTACAGATAAAAAATGTTGAATGTTTTGAGGTATGCTCATTGCTTCTTTGTTCTATTTGGTTATGGGTTTGATTGTTGTTGGGGTCAAACAATTGTTTTCGTACACAGTTGTTGGTGAACAGATGAATTGTTGAAACCCTTACATATTCAAAAAATGAAAGAAATATACATAAGAAGACATGAATTTCGTTAAGGATTGTTGTTTAGTCTATGTTACCGTGGTGGGTATTTTGTTTTTGTGTTCCAAAATGGTGTTGAAAATGTATAAATTTGTAAGTCATTTGTTTCCCCTCTTGTCTGGGTGTGGGAAATGGTCTTCGTGTTGCTGTAATATGCTCCAAAAAACATGTAGTTGAACAAATGTTGCCATGAAGGGTGCGCATGTATGATGTTTAAAATTTGTACTGTACCTTGTTATAAACCCGATATTGAAATTTTTTTGTTGGTGTATCTTTGTGAATACAGTTTTGGAAAGCAACTATATACATTTGTGTTGGTTTGTCGCGTATAAGGTGAACTAAAATTAAGGTCCTTCTCTCTCTCTCTCTCTCTCTCTCTCTCTGCGGCAGTAACCAAAATAGAAAGTGACTCGTGGGAGGAGTTTTGGAAACGATTATAGTAGGATCATTGACGGAAGCATAGGTGGATGTAGGTCTGGAATAGGTGGAGGTGAGAGCGTCATTTCTAGGCATTCTTCGTCCTTATCCCCATCCAGGGTGAAGATGTGTTATTGTGGAGTGCCGGTTGCGTTGCGTATGTCTTAGACGACAAAGAATCTAGGAAGACAATTTCTTGGATGTCCTAATTTCAGAACACAACACGAGTGCCATTTTTTTGAGTGGTATGAAGAACCGACTTGCTGTAATTGTATGAAGAACGAGAAATTGTTGAAATTATAGGGTGTTTTGCTAATTGTAATTGTTATAACATTTGGGATCATCATCACTGCAATGTTAAAATATCGTTGACTTGTATTTTAATGGTATGTTGCATGTGTTGCATTACCATATTTGTAGTTACGTCGTGTGGAGTTGTAATTTAGAGGAACCTTCGACGTGGAAGCTGTTGATGTAGCATTTCTTCTTTATAAATTGGGTTTTATAAGAGTTATGTTGTAAGAAAAGTGATTGTGTTATGTTATAGAGATTCGTTTTGCGTGCCGAAGTTTTTTTTTGCTGCGGGCCCCACAAAATGTTGTGTGTAGGAAAATTTTTGTGGTCATGTTAAATGATAGATGATAAACTCTTATAAATTATGTACTTTGTGTTTCTCAGAATGTAACTATCATGTTTGTCTGTTAAATTTGTATTTTAACAATGTCATGAATGGCTATGAATGGCTTGACATCTTTAAAAAGGTACCAGATAGCTAAGGTCTATAGAAGAGATAACCCATCTAAAGGAAGATACCGTGAATTTTATCAATGCGACTTTGATATTGCTGGTCCATCTGAAAAAATGGGTACAGACTTTTGTTGGGAGGAGGATATTTGAGAAAAAGGAAAGGTTTAGAAAGATTTGGAGGAAGAGAACACTTTTATTATTACACAACTCTTTTTCCTTTTTGGCTTAATACAAAATGATGGAGGACACACCTATTTATACTAGTGGCACCTCCTTAACTAATGGCTAGGATTATGCCAACACTATTCTCATCTAATGGCTACAAATCATTCTCTAGAATTCTCCACAATTTTCCTAGCCTAGATATTTCCATGGTAGTTTCTAGGTTGAACCATTCTAGATATTTCCATGGAGTAATCTAGAGTGGATTACTTTAGAATTTGGGCTAAACTACTCTTAAAGATTATTCTAGAAGTTGGGCCAAATAATAACTAAGCCCTATGGACTAAAAACTAATTAAATCAAGTTTATTTATTTATTCAACACCCCCCCTTAAACTTTATTTTGTAACTCCAAGCAATTTTCTCATCTTGACAAAGTCTTCATTCTTGAGTGGCTTGGTGAAGATATCTACTGCTTGTTCTTGAGACTTGACATATTTTATATGCACCTCATTTCTTGCAATGCATTCCCTTATAAAGTGATAGCGTGTGTCAATGTGCTTACTTCTATCATGGAAGACTGGGTTCTTTGCTAATGCAATGGCAGATTTGTTGTCAACATAAATATTGGTTGGCTCCTCTTGTTGCATATTCAACTCCTTCAGCAAGTTCCTTAGCCAAATGGCGTGGCAAACACACGATGTAGCTGCGATATATTCGGCTTCACATGTAGACAGAGTGACAATAGGTTGTTTCTTTGACATCCATGTGAAAGCAGTATCTCCCATGTAGAACACAAATCCAGTGGTGCTTTTTCTATCTTCCATGTCTCCAGCCCAATCACTATCACTATATCCAACAAGTTTATATTCATTAGAGGATGAGTAAAATAAGCCAAAGTCGATAGTACCTTTAATGTAGCGGAGGATTCTCTTTGCAGCCTTCAAGTGCGTGGTAGTTGGAGTCTCCTAGTAACGACTAACGAATCCAACAGCAAAGAGGATGTCAGGTCTGGGGCATGTCAAGTAGCGTAAACTTCCAACTAAGCTTTTGAAGAAAGTAGGATCAACATCTTCTCCTTCACCATACTTGGACAACTTAACTCCACATTCCATTGGGGTGTTGATAGGCTTGCAATCGTCCATCTTGAATTTCTTCAGTATCTCCCTTGCATAACCTTCTTGAGTGATGAAAAAACCTTCTTCTTTCTGCTTGATTTCAATGCCGAGATAGTATGCCATTTGTCCAATGTCAGTCATCTCAAACTCCTTCTTCATCACTTTCTTAAACTCTTCAAACATCCTTGGATTGTTTGCGGTGAAGACTAGATCATCCACGTACAAGCACACGATCAAATTATCTCCATCTTTAAGCTTGACATAAAGTGCATGCTCGTAAGGGCATTTGATGAAACCATTCTCTTGGAAGTACTTGTCTATTCGACTATTCCTAGCTCTTGGTGCTTGTTTTAGCCCATAAAGTGCCTTCTTCAGCTTCAATACCTTATCTTCATGTCCTTTGACTTCGTACCCTGCTGGTTGCTCGATGTACACTTCTTCTTCAAGTACTCCATTCAAAAATGCTGACTTTACATCCATTTGGTGTATGCTCCACTTGTTTTGAGCTGCCAAAGAAATAATTAGTCTAATAGTTTCTAAGCGAGCAACAAGAGCAAATACCTCATCATAATCGATTCCTGCTCGTTGACTATAGCCTTTTGCCACCAATCGCGCCTTGTATCTTTCAACTTCTCCTTTGGCATTCCTTTTAGCTTTGTAGACCCACTTCACACCAATCGCCTTGTACCCTTTTGGAAGTGAGGCTAGCTCCCATGTTTTGTTCTTCTCAATCGCATTGATTTCTTCATCCATAGCATTTCTCCATTTCTTTCTTTGAACGGATTCTTGAAAACTCACTGGTTCACAATCAGCAAAGAGGCAAAACAAAGTGAGATTATCTTGATTTTCTGTTACCTCATAAAGTTCTTGCAAGCTCTTGAAGCGTGGTGCTCTTTTGCTTGAACTTCCAGATGACAATGGTTCTTGTTGTTGACTTCTGATTGGTGAAGTTGGGGGAGTCATGGTCTCTTCTCTTTCTTGCTCCATCTCTTCATCTTCCATTAAATTGGGAAGTAAGTTGTAGTTTTCATCATCTAGACCCCAATTCCATTCTTCTTCTTCATTGAATTCCACATCTCGGTTAATGATGGTCTTTCCATTGTTAGGATTTTAAAGTTTATAGCCTTTAGAGTTAGAGTCATACCCTATGAAGATGAGCTTCTCACTTTTGTCATCAAGCTTGGACCTCTTCTTATCAAGAATATGTGCATAGGCTATGCTTCCAAACACTCTCAGGTGGGAGATCCCAGGCTTTCTTCCACTCCATGCTTCTTGTGGTGTCTTTCCCCACACGCTCCTTGTTGGCGAGCGGTTTAAAAGGTAGACTGCAGTTGCAACAGCTTCAGCCCAGAACTCCTTTGGCATCTTTTTGCTCTTAAGCATGCTCCTCGCCATGTTGAGAATGGTTCTATTCTTCCTTTCAGCTACTCCATTTTGCTGCGGGCTTCTTGGAACGGTTAAAGGCCTTCAGATTCCATTATCATCACAAAATTCTAGGAATTCTTTAGAAGTGAACCCTCCACCTCGATCGGATCTCATTGCCTTGATCTCGCATCCACTTTCTTTCTCCACACTAGCCTTGAACTTCTTGAAGACTCCAAACACCTCTAATTTTTGCTTTAGGAAATACACCCATGTCTTTCTTGAGAAATCATCTATGAAGAGATGAAAGTAATTACTCTTACCGAGTGAGCTTGGCTTCAATGGTCCACAAACATCTGTATGTATGAGCTCGAGCGACTTGTTGGCTCTTGACAAAGACTCCTTTGGAAAGCTCTTTCAACATTGCTTCCCAAGTAGACATCCTTCACATAGTTGGTCAGGTTGACTGATGGAAGGCAATCCTCTCACCATCTCCTTCTTGTATAGTAACTCAAGACCACCAAAGTTGAGGTGTCTGAATCGTAGATGCCACAGCAAAGATGCATCCTTGTAGCAGGCTTTGAGACACTTTGCAATGTCGTGTTGAATGTTCAACAGAAACATTCTATTTCTTGACATAGGCACCTTAGCAATCAAGTTATTTTGATTATCTCTTAAAGAAAGAGTATTATTTTTTAAGTGAACATCATACCCTTTCTCTAAGAGTTGCCCCAGACTCAAAATATTATTCTTCATGTTGGGCACATAGTACACATTAGAAATGAATTCATGCCTCCCGTCTTTTAATCGGATAAGAATCTTACCTTTGCCTTTCACTGGTGTCTTTGATTCATCTCCAAATGAGACATTTCCATTCACCGATTCGTCAAGTTCCACGAACATGTTTCTTTTTCCACACGTGATTGCTTGCCCCCGAGTCTAGATACCATGTATTCTCCTGTTCTCCTACATTGTCGTTGCGTACCATCAACAGAGTGCCATCTTCTTGACTTTTCTCTTCCACATAGTTTGCCTTCTCCTCAATCCTCCTTGTAGGGGCTCTACATTCAGAAGCATAATGGCCGAACCTTTGACAGTTGTAGCACTTGATTTGTGATTTGTCACACCTTGGTTGGAAGCCACCTCTTCCACGACCTCTTGTTGAGCTTTCTCCTCGATCTTCATGGGCATAGTTGTTGTTGAAGCCTATACTTCCACGTCCACGACCTCTTCCTCGACCACGATATCCTCCTCGTCCTCTTGTGTTGCCAAAGTCTTCTTCCTTTCCTTTGAAGTTGAGTTGTGTCTTGAGTAATTGTTCACCAACCCCTTTCTTTTTCTTTTTCTTCTCCTCATATGCTTGTAAGGAGCCCAAGAGTTGCTCTATTGTCATAGCTTCCAAATCTTTTGTTTCTTCTATGACAGTGACAATATGATCGAATTTCGAGTCTAAAGATCGCAAAATTTTCTCCATAATTTTTACATCATCTATCTTTTCACCATTTCTTTTTAATTGATTAGTCACCGTCAAGACTCTAGAAAAATAATCGGAGATACTTTCGGCATCTTTCATGTGTAAAGTTTCAAACTCACTTCTTAGAGTTTGAAGACGTACCTTCTTGACCGGCTCAACACCCTTGTACGAGATTTGTAGCTTCTCCCATGCTTCCTTTGCGGTGGCTGCCTCCGAAATCTTCTCAAAAGCATTTTCATCCAATCCTTGATAGATGAGATAGAGAGCTTTCTTGTCTCTCTTTCTTGAATCCTTCAAGCTATCATTTGAGTTTGGGATAGAGTGACTCCTTCTTTTGGCTCATCGTAGCCTTTCTCTACCACTTCCCACACATCTTGTGATCCAAGGAGGGCCTTCATCTTGATGCTCCAATTATCATAGTTGCTCTTGGTGAGCATAGGGACTTGGAAAGGAACCATGTTGCTACTTGCCATTTCTCTAGAAAGGATCTTAAGGCTCTTGATACCACTTTGTTGGGAGGAGGATATTTGAAAAAAAGGAAAGGTTTAGAAAGATTTGGAGGAAGAGAACACTTTTATTACTACACAACTCTTTTTCCTTTTTGGCTTAATACAAAATGATGGAGGACACACCTATTTATACTAGTGGCACCTCTTTAACTAATGGCTAGGATTATGCCAACACTATTCTCATCTAATGGCTACAAATCATTCTCTAGAATTCTTCACAATTTTCCTAGCCTAGATATTTCCATGGTAGTTTCTAGGTTGAACTATTCTAGATATTTCCATGGAGTAATCTAGAGTGGATTACTCTAGAATTTGGGCTAAACTACTCCTAAAGATTACTCTAAAAGTTGGGCCAAATAATAACTAAGCTCAATGGACCAAAAACTAATTAAATCAAGTTTATTTATTTATTCAACAACTTTGAGGTTGTTAGAGTTTTGACTGAACTGCTAGATGAGCTGGACATTGGGGAATATGAGGTAAATATTTTTAATATTCATTCTTTAAAAGTATTTATTTTTTGGAACTGTAGAACTCTACTGACTTCGTAATTTGATATTGGCATCAACCATCATATTTCATTCTCTGTCAATACTTATTTTGGTGAGTCGTTATCAAATATCAATGTAACGCCATCATACATACTTACTCCAAATGGTACTCTAAAAATATGTATTAGTATACAATTACAGGCCTATGTATTTGGGCTAGGATTGTTATATGTGCTGGCTGATGTGGTGTTTGCAAAGCTTTTGTGAAATCAGACTGGTTTTACTCAACCCAACTCATGTGCTATAGTTTAACCTTGTTATCAAGTCTTTGTTTTGTCAATTATCAGATTACTTGTTGGCTGATGTAGTCTTTGTGCTGCTTTTGTTAAATTTGGTCTGTTTTACTCATCTCAAATTATGTTCTATAGTTTAACCTTTTAATATCATTCATTTGGATGTGACTGGCAATTAACTGTGGTTTTCATACTTAGTGCTAAAAATTCTATTCAATAACGTGTTCAGATTACAACATATGTGTGCTTATTATATGTGATCTTTTTCTTGTAATATGTTTTGCCACAGATAAAGTTGAATCATAGAAAGTTACTGGATGGCATGATGCAAATATGTGGAGTACCACCTGAAAAGTGTAGGACTATATGTTCAAGCATTGACAAGTTAGACAAACAGTCTTTTCAACAGATAAGAAAAGAAATGGTGAGGACATATGCTTCTCCTGTGTCTATTTCCATTATAAGTTTATTTATTGGATGATTGAGTGTGCCAAGTCTTTTTTGTGGTTATGCTGTTCCTTCTGTTGGACATTTAGAATGATGTAGGCTTTATTTTTTATATTCATTTTTATAATTTATGCTTTATTAGTTGGGAAACAATTTTGGTCTAGGACCTGAATTCAATTTGTTACCTTTACATTTTTGGCAAATCTTGTTGCATGATTTTTTGAGGAGGCAAACACCCTCCTGTCACTGCCTGGTTACCTCATTGCACAGAACCTTTTTTGTTGTGGTTTCTTCATCTCTGAGCAATGTCTGGATTGTAGGAAAACTGTTATTTTCTTTGCATCCATTTTCTATTCAGCAGTTACTGATAACCATTGTTGTATTGAATTTGAGAAAATTTAGGGAGAAAATAAACGAAGAGAAAAGGTTACTGAGTGTTTGCTATTGTTTTTGCGTTAAGTATAGTAACATTTTTCCTTTTTTTTAGAAGCTATCTTACATCTCATCAATCATGCGTACTTGGAAGTGGGACCTAATATAATATGTATTGTAGGTGTTGCATGATTTTATATCTGGTCTCCGTATATTCATCATTTAAGGACCTAACTTGATAATTAGATTTGTGTTTGATGTGTTTTTAGTGTGCTTGTTTGTATTTGGTATTTGCTTTTGTGCTAGTGCACTTAAATTCCTAGGTGTCATACATGTGTATGTTTGGATAGATATGTGTGCATAGTTTGTGTTTGTGATCGTCATTTACATTTTTCCATAAAACCAAAAAGAAATTGCATTTCATGACTTAAATGTCCGTAAGTATACACGTATATCCCATTACATTGGCTTAGGTCTTTTGAGACTTACCATCGTTGTTGTCTTATTTTTTAGGTATATCGTGTATGTCTGATTAATTTTTTTGTACTGTGGGGATTTTTTTATATTTAGTAATGTGCTTTATACTGTCATGATGTAGGTTGAAGAGAAAGGATTAACTGCTGAGACGACAGACATAATTGAAACTTTTGTTAAAGAAAAAGGATCTCCTTTAGCATTATTATCTAAATTTAAACAAGAGGGCAGTGCTTTGTTAGAAAATGCTGGATCTCTTGATGCATTGAATGAGCTGGAAATTTTATTTAAAGTTCTCGAAAAATCAAAATGCATTGATAAAGTGGTTTTTGACTTGAGTCTTGCCAGAGGTCTGGATTATTACACTGGAGTTATATTTAGGGATGAATTTATTTTCTTACACAGGTCGGTTCAATTGCTGCTGGTGGCCGATATGATAACCTGATTGGGATGTTTGGTTCAAAGCAAGTTCCACCAGTTGGTGTAAGTCTGGGAATTGAAAGAGTATCTGCAATCATTGACAATGTTAAAAGAGTATCTATGTGGAAGGCCCAGACGACTTAAGCCCAAAGGTAAACTCTATAAATAGGAGCTAAAGATTACAGGTATGGCTGATCTCTTTTTAACCTATTTTACGCAATCACAGAACACACACACCATCCCCTCTTGGCTAAGGCCGTTATACAGTGTGTCGTGATTCGCTACCCCCAAGATACCTAGTCCATGATATCTAGAGAGAGCATCATATCCAACATCAACTAGCTAACCCTTGGTTAGATATCTCTGCCACTCAGGCAGAACAGACAAGAAGAACAAAGAGTTCATTCAAGTACGCTGTGGTTGATGATCCAATAAGTGACTTGTCCAAGCCTAGCAAGCAAGGGATTGTTCCTCGTATGTTGAAAAAGGATGCCCCCTAATATTCTCTCTTTGTATTCAAGGCCAAAGATTACACATTATAGTATGCAGCTGTGAAACACGGATACGTGACTTTTGAGAAAAAATGCGTGTCAGACACCGACACGTTCCGACACGCGTCCGACACGTGGTTGAATTTTTGGGACACGTTGACTAGGGGGACATGCGAATTTGACCGAATCGAACACGCAGTCAACGTATGTGGACACATTTTAGGACACGTTTTCACTTTTTTTTTTAAATTAACCTCACACCGTCCAAACACCGCAGCTCCATTTTTTTCTAATCACCCTCCTCCCATCTTCATTGACTGAACCACCATCCCATTCCACCTCCAACCGCCGGTCACCCACAGCCCCATACCCATCTCCATCGCACCATCCCTCATCTTCAACCTCTCGTCCCACCCTTCACCACCCATCATCACCAGACATCATCTTCTCCAAACCCACCGATTCAGCTTGAACTCTGACGTTGAGTCATTGAGTCATTCAGTCATTAATACAATGTGGATAAAGTTTGTTAATCACCAAAAGACAAGAGGTATTCATTGTAATCCTTGTTATATTAAACTACACAACATTGGTGCTATTATATAGCAAACCAATTGAAGAATACAAAGAGACACACTCAATGTGGGACTTCTATACTATGTACAACAACACTCCCCCTCAAGCTGGAGCATATAGATCGTATGCACCAAGCTTGTTACATATCTGGTCTATCCTAGGTCCTCTCAAAGACTTAGTAAATACATCAGCTAATTGATCATTTGAGTTGACAAAACGAGTGACTATATCTCCTGAGAGAACCTTTTCCCTAAGGAAATGACAATCTATCTCAATGTGCTTAGTCCTTTCATGAAACACTGGATTTGAAGCAATATGCAAAGCAGCTTGATTATCACAAATGAGAGATGTTGGGCCAGTGTCTCCAAACTTGAGTTCCTTCAGTAGCTGTTTTAACCAGATGAGTTCACAGGTAGCTGTGGCCATGGAGCGATATTCTGCTTCAGCACTTGATCTAGCAACTACACTTTGCTTCTTACTTCTCCAGGAAATCAAGTTATCTCCAACGAATACACAATACTCAGAAGTAGATCTTCTATCAATAGGAGAACCTGCCCAATCAGCATTTGAGTATCCTACAACTCTGGTATGACCTTTGTTTTCATAGAGAAGACCTTTGCCAGGAGCAGTCTTGATGTACTTGAGGATACAGATTACTGCATTCCAGTGATCTTCACAGGGAGAATTCAAGAACTGACTTACTACACTGACTGCAAAGGAAATGTCTGGTCGAGTAACTGTAAGATAGTTCAGTTTCCCAACCAATCTTCTATACCTTTCTGGATCAGAAAATAGCTCCCCCTGATTTGGTAAAAGCTTGACATTTGGATCCATAGGAGTATCAACGGGCTTAGCATTTAACAATGTTGTTTTCTCAAGAATATCCATAGCATATTTTCTCTGTGATAGTACAATGCCATCTTTAGA